CAACGTAAAAGCTTTGCGATAAATAAACAAGCTTGATGCACGATATTTTGAATTTTTTTTTCATTCATTTGTCATGTGGTACTACAGTGACCAAGAGGTTTAAGACCTATCAAAACGCTGATTAAATAACAAGCATAATCATTCGCGCTAAGCCATCGCGCTTAACGCGTGAGATTTTCTTGCGTTTCTAAATTTACTTTTAATTTTTTGAACGATAGAGCTTTGTATGGATTAAATGCTAATCTTTTTTAAGTAAAATGTTACAAGTTCAAGAGATTTGCCGCATAAACGCACTTGACACAATTAATCTTGTTTTTATTTATTACTTTTTATTAATTAAAGTTGATAAAACTATATCGTTTGAAGACATAATAAATTAGACCAAGTAAATGCACGAGATGCGCTTCTCTTTTCCGAAAATTTTATTTTTATCTTAAGGTAGTATAAAAATTTAGGAGATGGTGCTTCATAGATAAAAAAAAAAGGTAAACAAAAATAAAAATTGGGGCTTCTGCCTATCTAACACGCTTACCATGCTGAACCTTACCGCCTACTTTAACTTCTAATGCTGAGGACGTTGGAGGAGTTAAAAATAATTACGTTGTCATCTTAGATAATAATGCAATCAACGTAGAAGCTTTGCGATGAATAAACAAGCTCGATGCAGAGTAGTTAAAAATTTTTTTTCAATCATTCGTCATGTGGTACTACAGTGACCAAGAGGTTCAAGACCTATCGGAATGCTTATTGAAAAACAAGCATAATCATTCGTGCTAAGCCATCGCGCTTAACGCGTGAGATTTTCTTGCGTTTTAAATTTACTTTCAATTTTTTGGACGATAGAGCTTGTTTTTATTGTGTAATTTTTATTCATTAAAGTTAATAAAACTATAACGTGCGACGAAATAAATAAATTAGACCCAGTAAATGCATGAGATGCGCTTTTCTTTTCTAAAAATTTTATTTTTATCTTAAAGTAGTATCAAAATTAAGTAGATGTTGCTTCAGAGATTAAAAAAAAGGTAAACAAAAATAAAAATTGGGGCTTCTGCCTATCTCACACGCTTACCATGCTAAACCTTACCGCCTACTTTAACTTTTAATGCTGAGGACGTTGAAGGGATTGAGAATATAAACGTTGTCATCTTAGATAATAATTCGATCAACGTAAGAGCTTTGCGATGAATAAACAAGCTCGATGCACAGTATTTTAAATTTTTTTTTTATTTATTCGTCATGTGGTAGTACACTGACCAAGAGGTTCAAGACCTATTGAAACGCTGATTAAAAAACAAGCATAATCATCCGCGCTGATCTATCCTGCTCAACGCGTGAAATTTTCTTGCGTTTCTAAAATTACTTTTCATTTTTTGGTTGATAAAGCTTTGTATGTATTAAATACTGTTTCTTTTTTAGTAAAATGTTACACTTTAAAGAGGTAGCTGCATAAACGCACTTGACGCGTTTAATCTTGTTTTTATTTATTAATTTTCATTTTTTGAATTTCATAAAACTATAACGTTTAAGGAAATAAATAAATCAGACCAAGTAATTGCATAATATGCGCTTTTCTTTTCTAAAAATTTTATTTTTAAAGTAGTATCAAAATTTAGTAGATGTTGCTTGAGAGATTAAAAATAAAAGTAAACAAAAATAAAAATTTGGGCTTCTGCCTGTCTTACACGCTTACTATGCTGAACCTTACCGCCAACTTTAACTTTTAATGCTAAGGACGTTGGGGGGATTTAGAATAATTACGTTGTCATCTTAGATAATAATGCGATTATCGTAAGAGCTTTGCGATGAATAGACAAGCTTGATGCACGGTATTTCGATTTTTTTTTCATTTATTCGTCATGTGGTACTACACTGACCAAGAGGTTCAAGACCTATGAAAACGCTGATTGAAAAACAAGCATTATCATTCGTTCTGAGCCATCGCGCTAAACGCGTAAAATTTTTTTGCGTTTCCAAATTTGCTTTTAATTTTTTAGACGATAAAGCTTTGTGTAGATTACATGCTGATCCTTTTTCAGTTAAATCTTAGACGTTAGAGAGGTTTGCCGCATAAACGCACTTGAAGGGTTTAATCGTAATTTTATTTATCATTTTTTATTTTTTTGTTTCCATAAATCAGACTAAAAAGTTTGATGAATTAAAAAAATTTGACCATGTTAATGCGTGAAACGAGCTTGTTTCACAGTATTTAAAAAATTAAATTTTTATTTCCAAGTAGTTGAACGTTAAAAGATCAAGAGTTTTACTGAGTATTCGATCTTAACGCATGAGACCCTCTCACATTCTGGTTTTTTTTATCAGGCGCTGCTTGTTTAAAAAAATTTAAATCGAATTGTTTTTCTGTGAAATTTACTAAGAAAAAAATATGCACTTAATAAGCGTCGTGGACGTGCGTAATCATTCCTTAAAAATCAGATCTCCGGTTAAAATACTTCGGCCTTGCTATTTGAATTTTGCGCTGGTACGGTAACTGATCAAATCTCTGCAGTCGGTAAACTTGTCTCCTAACATACCTATTACCACTCTCCTTGTTAAAGAGTTTATGCGTCGTCGCCCCTCCACAATGCTTAGGCCCCGCCTCCTGAGTCTAAGTGCTCTGTGAATGGAGGTGTTGATCGATTATTAAATCAACAATATCTCGTTACTTATCCATTGAATCCAAATTTTGTAAAGAGCTTTTCAAGAGCTCTTGATGAGCTTTATCTCGTGATTTAGTTTTTCGGGTTAAAAATCAGAATGCCCTGTATAGTTGGTTTCGTCAGTAGTTAAATTTTTGTGTTTAATTTTAAGACGCTTTTAATGTAAATTTTTGGTTTGCTTGATGTGTAACTGCCATAGAGATATGAGCATAGAGTAAACAAGGGGTAGTGCTTTATGTAAGTAAAAACGATAGAGTCAACAAGAGTGACCGCTGCCCAATAGTACCCTCTGTCTCTTTCTCACTTAACTCTGATTGACTTCGTCTACTGTACCTCTGACTTCTTGCACTCTTTTCACTTCTCTCTCTCGCAGACAATAAAGGAGTAGGTATTTTTTAGCCAATCACAGTGGTCAGCTAGAAAGAGACAGCGGGCACCATCGAGTAGCGATCTCTCTTCTTAGCTCTATTGTGACATCAGGCCTCTTGTTTACTTCATGCTTATATCTCTATGGTATCCGCACTTCTAATTAGCTTAGTAACTACTTCCTTTATTTGTTTATTCATTAATTGATTTTTTGTATTTGATGTTTATCACTTGTATATTAGATATATCATTGTGCATGCAATTATGTGTTACTACCAATGTCTTAAAAGTTTTCGATTTAGTAATAGCATTAATATATTTAAATTATCTCTCTGCTTATTTTTTGGGGTTTTACGAGCATAGTGTACAAGAAACAATCACAATTTATTTACGAGATTCCTTTTACGATGGTTAATATAATAACAATACTGTGTATAACCATGAGTTGCTTTTTAATCCTCTTGTGAGTTGACTTGTTGTCTCTTTTCCCTTGTTTCCTTTTATTGTGCAATGTATTTCGTGTCGCGTTTGTGGCTGCTGTCTGGGCTTGTTGTACTGTGCTCGCTTTCTGTCTTTATTTCCCTAGGTGTAGTGATTGGTAGTTGCCTCTAGTATTCTGGTATATTAGTCCACTGGATTGATTCAAAATTGTTCTTTGGTTGGTCTCCTCACAGTGTTAAAAAATTTTTTTTTTTATTATTTCTTACATTTTTTTTAACGCTTTCTCTAGATTCCGCCTATTGTGATAGTTGGACCACTGAATCTGGTGTCCAGCGCTTTTGACACTTTTTTTTTGCGATGAGTGATATATTCTCATTTTTTAAATTTTATTACGTGAATTGATTGAGAAATATTTTTTTTTAATTTGGGAGACAAAGTAGTTTTCGTGCACGAGACAGTCCGTTAAAAAATTTTGTATGTATGCCACTTCGGACACCAGCTGTTAGTGAGTTGCTCGGTGCGGAAATAAGTAAAAGCACTACTTCCAGTTAACTTATACTTTAATAGCACTACTTGTATTTAAGGGAAGATACGCGTGTCTTCAAGCCTTGTGGGCCTTGTCCTTACGCTCTCGCGTCTTTAGCTAATTTCTCTTTTCTGTCTTGCTTCGCTTTTCCTATCCTGTCCCTTCTTTACCCTATTCTCCTACCCTTTGGGCCCAGGCCAGTGGGAGCGCACGTTAGCATTGCTATATTCAATCGTACGTAACATATTGTTTAAACAAAAATAGGCCAAAACTCAATATAATTTGTTTAAACTAGTCTTGTTATGTGAAACCAATTTTGCTTTCACAACTTTCATTTTATTCCTTTGATTAAACGCACTTTTTATTTTTTTCTACCTACATTTCTCGCAGTGGAATAATGACAAATCTATACAAGTTTTTCAAATTTTAAGCTATCTATTATTTTAACGCTTTTTCCGACTTACAAAATGTCTGTAAATTTTTGTTGCTTCTCTGTTCTAGCCTCCCCATTTTTTCATCTTATTCATATACTGCTTAACTAAATCGTGAAGCTTTTGGTCCCCTTTTTCAACTTCACCTCTTTTTTTTTTTCCTTCTGCTNAGTGGCACTTATCAATCCTGAAGGTTCCAGATCAAAGTGAAGACCTAGATCACTTCCCTTTTGGAGAAGAGCGTCATCGGTAACCGGGATACCAAGCTGCATGACTCCAGCTACATTCTTAATGCAGCTCGATGAACTGCCCGTCGATGATTGCAGAAAAAACTGCGACGCTCCGGACTATTATAACCACACTTATTTCATTCTGTTGCAGGTAGCTTCGATTTTATGTCGACGCCACCTAGCGAATCCTACTGAACTAAAGTGAAAAGCTGGCGTATTTTTGCAAAACTTTGAGCTTATTTATTGCTATTGTTATCAATTTTTTTAAGATATAAACCATACTAAGACCATCTAGAAAGTGTCAATCTTTTATATATATATTTAAAATATATCAGGCAATTATTTTTAGGTTCAAATAGTTGGATTAACTGAAAAAGTGGTAGAAGATTGTGATGAAGTACTTAAGTTAATACAGCACGGGAATAATGTTCGAACAAGTGGTCAGACAAGTGCAAACAGTAACTCATCAAGATCTCATGCTGTTTTCCAAATTATTGCAAGAACCCCTGGAACTCATAAAGTTCATGGAAAGTTTTCATTAATCGATTTAGCTGGCAACGAGCGTGGTGCTGATACTTCTTCTGCAAACAGACAGACTAGTAAGCACATTTTCAGGCTTAAATAAAAAACAAAACTCAAAATAACAATTATTTTTGTATATATGTATCAAAATTCATTGATGTGTTTTTTAATAGTACTATGTTTAATCTCTTTTTGCAATAGGTTGAAATCAAAGTTGTGTATTTTATAAAAATTCCACAAAAAAGTGTCCCACGAATAAGGTCCACTTTACTGTGTGAGTTATTGATATCACAATTAAATCTTTACTAGTTTTTCACGATGAAAATAAAGATAGCATAAATATTCATTGTAACACACAGTTGCACAGTCCGTGAGGGACAGTTCTTCAAAATGGCTGCTATATGTATGTATATGTGTGTGTGTGTGTGTGTGTTTGTAAATAGTGACTTCACGTGCTTCCAACATTTATATCAATAACATGGTAGAATTATGCGGACGTCCGTAAAATTCCACTTTTGTCCTCATAATAATTCTCACATACATGTGATTGTCCACTTAAGTCACCTCTTGACACACACACACACACACACACATACACACACACACACATATATACTATCAGCCCCCGTCTTCGCTTCGGCTTCGCCCGAGACTTACTAAATGGAACACCGTAGTGTGTTGACATGTAATGTGAAACGTTTTTAGTTAGAAATTTTACATTTATTCCTGACACTTCTCAGAACAAAAATCTTATTACTAAAAACATATTTGTTTGCAATCCATACAGTTTATTAGGTCAAATAATAAGCTGTAAAAATTACAAAAAATATAATTATGCTGAAAAGTATCGTGCGTTCCTTATGCCATAAAATAATCGTTGGACATAAGGAGCGGTTAATTATCAGTTTTTTCCGTGTAATTTTCAAAAAGGGCTATTTTTTAAAGATGTTAAGATTTTAAACTCCCAAAAATATATATTAAAAAAAAATGTTCTCTCTCAACTCACAATTTTATTACCAGAGCAACAAAGTCCTAGAGCTTAATCTCTACATTTTTTATTGCCACAAAAATACAAAAATATTTTCTTCTCATTTAAAAACTTGAATTTAGATCGTTAAAGATTTAAGAGATTACTGTGAGGGTAAAATAAAAAGCTGATCTCTCACGTACTGAATTCTTTATTTGTCGATTTTGAGGCTGCTGTTCCAATCTCAATAAATTTTTTGCGTCACTTTCTGGACGCCTAAAATTGTGTTCATTAGAAACATTTGAAGTTTTCCTTCGAATTTACCCTCTTGCGCCTTTGGTGACCCCTAAAGGCTATTTTCTGTCAATTTTGTTAAGTTCTAATATATTTGTTGGTAAGGTAGTTCGACGTCCGATTGCCCTAAGAAAGACCGGTGAACTTCTTAAGTATACCCTTTCTTGACTGAAGTTAACAACAATTGTGACTGCCTGGATACATCAGGGTGATCTTCTCTGGCCTGATGTTGAAGCCGCAGACTGATCGGGAGAAAAATTACAAAGTCCGAAGCATTGGGACTAGTTGCAGTGCTCTTTCCCAACGTCTCCTGGCATAACGTGGAAGACGTTGGTGTCTAAAGCACCTTTTTTTTTGCAGACTCAGTTGTTCTGATAATCTAAGATGGAGAGATTAGTAGAGATTGGTTTGTGATGCTTGCCCGTTGGAGACTCTCGTGGGCTCAATTTTTTTTCCTTCATAGCTGTTAGGTACGCCCAGCGCAGACCTTAGAGAGGATCGGTGATTCCTGATTGAATGCTTAGAGTTGAGAGGGTAATACAGGGTCGTCGGTCACCGGGGTTCCCAGCCTTGCGACGAATAACTCCGCTTGTGACAACTGCCAGTGAATGACTAACTTGGTTTAATAGTGGCCGGCCTCACGTAGTCTTTCAGTCGACGAATAATGTTTCTGGAAATAGTAGTAAAAATGTATTTGTTGGCATGGTAGTTTAATCTTAGGAGGCCCTTAAAACAACCGATGAGATTGAAGGTTAAGTAATGAACGTTAATACTTATAATGGCCTCTGAAAAAGGCCAGTGATGAAATTTCTAGTTATTCCTTATTATTATGCTTGATGATGGAGAGCCAGCTGTGGGTAGCTTGACTCTTACCCTCGGAGTCTCTGTGTACGGAGACCGTACATGAGGGAGATATGCCGCTGATCGAAATATATTACATCTTCCGGTCGTTGCCCGAATAACGACCGCTCATCGTTAGTCGGGAAAGTGGGCCTGAAGAATACCTTCCCTGTAGGTATGCCGTTGGAACGACCACTAAAAAGTTGGCAGTAGTGGTTGCCCGTACTCTTTAGGGCTGTCTTCCCTGGCGTATATTTGTAGTAAAAAATTCTCTGGAGGCACCAGGCCAGATTGTGGTGCGGCCATGTAACTCTGAAGTGTCGGAGCAGGATGTGATCTGGCTAGACACGTCGCCTGGTATTACGCCACAGACATTATCGGTTAGAATAAATTATTCATCAGTGGCACTTATCAATCCTGAAGGTTCCAGATCAAAGTGAAGACCTAGATCACTTCCCTTTTGGAGAAGAGCGTCATCGGTAACCGGGATACCAAGCTGCATGACTCCAGCTACATTCTTAATGCAGCTCGATGAACTGCCCGTCGATGATTGCAGAAAAAACTGCGACGCTCCGGACTATTATAACCACACTTATTTCATTCTGTTGCAGGTAGCTTCGATTTTATGTCGACGCCACCTAGCGAATCCTACTGAACTAAAGTGAAAAGCTGGCGTATTTTTGCAAAACTTTGAGCTTATTTATTGCTATTGTTATCAATTTTTTTAAGATATAAACCATACTAAGACCATCTAGAAAGTGTCAAGAATCGGTATGCAAAATTTCAGCGAAATCGGTTTAGTAGTTTTCGCGGTTAGCGATTACAATGGTTGTAGCGACCCTGCTTTACATATTGGTAAGATAAGATATATATATCATATTAACATAACTTGGAACTTATACAGATAAATACAAATTGTAATTGTATATATATTGTGACACGGTATTTTGACGTGTCACATGCTCTCCTGAAATGTATGGTTAATATTAAGGATCTCTGTGCTAGGAGAAAGATGTCTCCTTAATACGGCTTGCTAGGTATGGTGTTGGTGAAGATAACGCGCCTGCGTGACAAGCAAGTATAAGGAAAGTATCTTACGTGGCTCTCCCACACATTTATCACCCCCCTTTCCCGTGCTGCATCGAAGTCATGGCTGTTTACACGTAAGCAAGCGGGATACTGATGAAACACGCATATCACCGCACGGCTTCAACACACACCCCTACCGGCAATGCTGTGAAATCAGAGGTCGCCTCTGTCCTACTCAGTGGTCGAAGGTGGGGACCTTGCCAGCGCCAGCGCGACGCCGCGTTGGCAGACCCTCGCCGCGCCCGTAGCTAACAAGAGCCACAGCAATACGCTGACATTCAGCTGACTTTCCGGGAGTTTCGTAGTGGTGACTTTGCTGTGTGTGGCCCTCAACTTCTTCGTGCCTAGACGAAGCGTATTGAGTAAACTGCAGTCTGGTAGGTGCAGCGTGCTTAACGTAGTAGATTTACCGATTGACGAGCAGTTGAGCAATACCCTTTTCCTTAATGTTCCGTGAGAGCCACGTGAGTGTACAGTGAATATTTATTTGAGATTCTCCGCCATTTATAGTGTGCCGTATCGGAGAGAAGAGTGTAGCTCGTGAGGTGTGCACGAATAACAAGCCAAGCTGTACAGTGCTATATAATTCATTAAATACGTTTTGGTTAATACTTTTCAGTTCATTAAGTGTTACTTTTTTAATTATACTTTCACACCGTTGGAGGGCGTAAGAATTGCGCTGGATGCTGAAAATACATACGAATAAAAAGGATTGATATTCTAGAGTGTTACATACTATTATCTTCACAACTTACTGAGTGTCTATTTTATCCAGTCTTGCACCAATCAGCGCATATAACGCTCCCTCAGCGTATACATAAATAATAGTTTATTGTATCCCAGAATTGCTCCGCCGTTGCTCTAATCCCCAGCAAGGGCGTGATAATATATATATCAGGTATTCTTTGTGAACCAATTACTCCCTTTCCCCAAAATTGGTTTGAATCATTATGGTACTATAAGTAGTCAAATAATAGATCATTTAGTTTTTAATGCTGAGTGGCATATATATTGAGTCAACATTCCAGATCCAATATAGCTACCTAAACCACGTGACCTACAGATTTTCTTCGAAAAAACTACTGTAAGTCTCGCAGCATAAGCCCAACATTTATCTTAAAAGGCTTTAATTGAAAGTCTTCAGCTATTTCATCAAAACAAGCATGAAGAAAATTTTTTGTCTGCTAGAAAACTCAAAATGGTGGCAAAAACACGTGACCAGCATTTTTTTTCAAATCGAACTACTGAGAAAATCACAGTATAAAACCTACGAAGTTCTAAAAAAGCTGAAATGTAAAGTCTTGAGCTCTTCTATAAAAAGATGTACAAAGAAAATTTTCTATCTGCTATACAATCCAAAATGGCGGCAGAAAGACGTGACCTACGGATTTTTTACAATAAAGCTACTGTAAGTATTGTGGCATAAGCCCTACAGGGGTCTACAAGGAGCTTGAATAAAGGGTCTTGAGCATATATATCAAACATCGTATAGAAAAATTCTTTTGTCCAATATGAAATCCATAATGACGCCGAAACACGTGACTTATATCCTTTTTTTAGTAAACTGTAAATCTCAGGGCATGAACCCTACAAGAGTTTGCTAAAGCTTTACTTAAAGGTCTTGAGCTTTTTTATCAAAAGTCAAATAGAAGAAATTTCTTGTCAGCTATCAAATTCAAAATGGTGATCGAAATCAACTGATGTTTTGTCTACAGCTTTAGTAGCATAGTATATGTAGGCCTATCGATCCTCGTATTCAATTTAATTATAGCCATTTTGGATTGTACAGCTAACAAGAAATACACATCTTATAATATAAGAGCCTTAGACCTTTTTATTTAAGCATTTCTAGACCCCTGTAGGGCTTACACCACAAGACTTATAGTA